ATCTTGTCTAGTCACGCTCGTATCATGTATGCATCCATTTTGATTTCGGCGAATTGTTGAATAAAGCATGACAGAATTCCTCGTGCGTTTTGCAAATATTCTCGGAAAGAAAATGTTGACCTAAATTATGAACATAGATATTCACAAAACGCGAACTCTTCTTACTGAAGTTAGTGCTTCTAGAAATGTGATACTTGTCGCGGACAGAGGACACGCCGTGTGTCTGCAGTCGTCCAGCGCAGGCGCCCGCCCGTAACCGGTGGGTGTGCCAAAGATTTACCAGAAGTAAGGGTGTCTGCAGTGGCGCCGAGCAAGGTCTCATTCAAAACGCTTCGAACTGCCGGACGAATCGGACAAAAAACTGGGTGGCTGGAGAAGTGCGTGAAACAGGAGCTGTGATCCGAACATTTTGTGATTTTATACGCAAGAAATATTTTGTTATAGCAGTGCATTGCAATTACAAGGTTATGTACGTATGAAACAGAAGTTGCAGCTGCAAGGTTCGTATCGATTTCTACATACAGACCATGAGACAGAGTTTCTTTCGGCTGGAGGTGGGTGGGGGGGTGGGGGGAGTTCAAAGTGTTTTAGGGGATAATATGGTGGAAGATGTAGAGGGAAGAGTAATTTTGTGAATACTTTTGATTTCAGATTGTCACGCAATTTCTACCCCAGCATAGAAGTTGCTTTACCCTCTTGGTATTTGTCTTTCGACTCTTTCTCAGGGATGTTACTCGATTTGCAGGTTTTGCCAAGTGCAACATTGCAGACGTAGGGTAAATACAGTAGAAAAACGTATTGAGTAGTTTTTTGATTGAATCCGTCATTTATATTAATTTAATTTTTTTTTTTTGCGGTTAGGATGTTCGTTGGGTGTGACATTGCAAAACATAATCGCAGACACGTGTTCGAGCTTTGGATATGTCGATGGATGAAACTTGCATCGATAAAGAATGTTCTGGACTAGGTGGTTGGTCCTTTGCTGCATATTCGAAAATGCAATTTGTTATTGTATGATTTCGACATGTTGATTGTGGCTGAATACGAAAATTTGGGCAGAATAGTGTTAATGTAAGAGTTGTTATGAAGTATCTGCTGCACCTGAACACATCTGTAGTCTTTTTTTATCCATATAGCTAACGCTTCCACGCCTCGCGAAGAATCGATTACGGTCCGTTGCATGATGGAGGCGACTTTCTTGTACAGGATAAGCACAGTCCAGTGACCATGTTCGTTATCATAATTTATGTTGGTGTAGTTGGATAACAAAAACAAACTTTCGACTACAAAGTTTTATATTTGGCCTGGTTTTACCAGAAATAATTGCTCACCATTTCTCTAATTAATTGTAAGGTATTTGCCATGGACTAAACTCGTCTGTATTCTCCCAGAATTCGGTCAGATTTGGTGGTATAAAGATAATTCAGCTCTTTATTTTTACGTGCTGACTAAGCAGCTACAGCCGAACACCGAAATTTGTGATAATAATGCACTCCTTTTTATAATAATATTACTATAATTGAGAATTAATACCGATAATTATTGGTGCAACTGAAAGGTTATTGCGATCATTTTAAAAGTATTTATACGATGTCGGTGAATATTCCAGAGGGGACCTACTAAAAACGGCCATTCCGGGAACAGAGTACATTTTTAGGAAGATGTGGATATAACATTTCATAAAGTTTACATAAATTTTCAAGACGCTGCTGTATAATGATGCAGCAAGGGCAAATGTTAACGATAACTTGTCATTTGCTCGCCTGATGAGAGCGTAGTGTTTCGCGAGCTAGTCGTAGTTGTTGTCAAACGAATTTTACGTCGTTTTCTCATTTTTTGAAATTATTTTAATATTATGATAGTCCAATAGGAGTCAACTTATGTTGAGCATATGTTTATTTTTTCCGACGATTTATCACTACAGGTTTCAAGATCCTGTTTTGTTTCCGTGGCTCGAACGTACGAATTTGCCACAGGTGCCATTTTGATTTCATGTTCGGAAATTCTATAACCCATCTTTTTGCATATTTATATTTTTCTCTATCTGTCCGTCTGTGTATCCGATCTTTCAGTCTATCCGTACTTAAGTCCATACAGAGAACTTCGTAATGAATTGTTTAATAATCGTCTGCACGACAACCTATGAAATTATGGCTACTAAGTTTGTTTTAATACTAACCTTACCTTACGTAGGTACATCACAGACAATCAGGAATGCAACGGACAGATTCGTTATGAAGTATGGTATTGTTACTGTAGTTAAGGCAATTGGAGGTAAGAAATATGATTCCACATTCCACATTTTATCAGACACCTCACGTATTCTGCGTGGATTTTGGCAATTATCTGAATATCTAATCTCTGATTGATTTCGGCACCATCCTTTTGGAAGAGGGGCTCCAGTCGAATTCTGTACGACTCAAAAAACTCGTGGATCGCAATGTTAGCCCTGTATAAACCTGTTCACTGTTTAAGCATAGCTTAAAATAAACGTTTTCAAGTCATGTGATTGTCGCGCCTGAGTTTTAGGCTCTAAAATGCTGGAATAAATATTGGAATTTGGCCGAGGAATGTTTTAGAACATATTAGACACCGCTATAATACAACAACAAATTGTATTGCAATTTTATATGTACACACGTGATTGGAAACCATAAAAATAACTGCTTTGGTGCCAAATAGGTCTTGTCTCCCCTGGTGTAGTCAACAACCAAATGAGCTCGAGATACTTTTAGCATCAAGCGGTTTTCTTTTTTTCGTTTTGGCATGTTGGCAAACGCACATATCAGCAATATACAGACAGCCTGCCCGGGGACTATCAACTGTTTCTGATATACCATTCAGCAAATTCGTCCGGTCATTTCGGTTTGACGTTTCGCGACTGTGTTTATATGCAAACGCAAATTCTTACATCTAGTGTTTGCTTCTTTTAAAATTGAATCTTCTTTCGTGTTTTCTGCATTTCCAAATTAGAACGTCAGTGATCAACACTGGCGTGTTCTTAATACCCTTGGATTGTAGTGAAGTTTAAGAGTGAGTGCAAGTATTTTCGGAGTGAATGTGGAGTAGTTCTGTGTTTTTAGCAATCTGTAAAAGTTTCGCTTCTTAAGGAGTGATTTGAACAGTTTAAGAGGGTTTGGTCAATGCAGTTGGTGACGTGCTTTTGTTGACGGAATGAATCGCTTGTGGAAACAACATTTATTTTGTGAAGTGAGTATTCCGTGACTTTTGTGACCACAGTGTCCTCCCCGGGCAAGTATTTATCTTGTTACTGCAGTAGGACAGCTTTAATGAGAGACCTTCGTTGTTAGCGTTCGTTTCAAATAGGAATAGAATTTTTACGTATGGTACTAGTTTCTGTTTAACACAACGTAAACAAATGTTGCAAAGGGCACATCCATGTACGAATATTTGTCTTTATTACCCAAAGTTTGTCAGAATTCATGCCATGTACGTTCGCTATTACTGTTATTGAGCATTTGATATTGTAAATTTTCGCATATTCCTTTAAACCGTCCTTCGTTTGTTCTTCCGCTAGTCTGTGAAGTTACCTGTCAACACTTTGTCAACTGTTGGGCTTGTCCCCCATCTTTAACGCTGTGTTTTTGGGGCCAGAGGGTTTATACACTCTCCTCTGGTTTTCTTTAGACAGCCTTTAACGTGCTAGTTACGCGAATAATTACGAAGAACGCTAAATTGGGATCGCGCTTCTAAAATGAACGATATTCGAGCACATTCGATTCTGTTAGGTAATTTACCAGAAGCTAACGTAGAAAATACCATTTATTGAAGTTAGTTTGTTTAATTCTGTGTTGCGACGAGAAGGTCGACAGAAAATGCGATTGAGGAAACCTTAAATCGCGGTATGTAATGGAGAGTGTTGTTGCAGTTTTGTTAATGTGAGTCGTAAACCAATGTATGAAAACTTGGACACAAATGTATGTTCTGTGTTTTGTGATATAAATTGGAATGATATTTTAAAGTTATAAACGTAATTCTATTTGCCTGTGGTTCCATATTCCCTGAGGTTTTAATTCTAATATGTTCTCATTACTAATTATATGTACATATTTTTCGTGATCTCTTGCGAAGAATCGACATTTCTGCACGCATATTTTTTGTCTTAGAGAGTAGATTTTCAGATGGAGTGACACTGCCTTATTGGACTGGCATGTTTCTTAATTTGTGGTACTGTGTTTGTGAAAAATATTCATGTTACTGTTTTCTTTGTCTCTCTCGTCAACATGTCACCATCTCTTGTAGATCCCTGTTACAAGAGACCTTGAAGGTTGATAACAACTGTCATACACGGGGTGGACTAGATTATGAAGGAGAATTATAGAGGTCCATAAAAGATATTTTAAAAGTTTTTATATACGTCTTGTGAAATCTACATTGGACACGCTGATGTCCTTGATGTATTGAATGGTTTCGAATAGACTGTAAATCTGTTTTCCGTCCGTCCCGAGAGCCAGTGGACGGATTTGGATGAAATTTGATGTGGAGGTAGTGGCCAGAGTGGGAACTATCGAACACATGAGGATATTATGTATATTTCGGTACAGATTACTCTTTCTGGGCTTGTTTGGTCATCCTGTAATTACTTTACAGCGATACAAAATTGTTTGCACAATGAAGAGACTTGGATTTTTTAAGGATAAGGGAACATATTACAAGAAGCCAGCTTAAGCCCGTTATGATTCTTTCTCGCCATGCTTCTCACTTAATCATTATATGCGTGCGCCGAAGAGTAAATGGGAAGATGACATTAATATGCATTTGGGAGAAATGGGTTTCAGAATTGAGAATTGGATTGACTGACCTAGTGTGCAGACCAGTAGTTGGGTTTTGTGAAGCTGATATCAGGGTCTACTGCTCAATTTGTACAAATGTCAGATAACTGGGGATATTTGTGTTTAGGGCTTAAAAAAATCCCGTTTTTCTGTTTCGAGTTAAAGTTTGTGAAGGCCCAAATTTGTTTATTACATTATGTGTTGATTAAATGCCTTTGTTTTTCAGGCTCTGAAAGATTGTGTAGTCGTCTCGAGTATATTTAAAAATATATTTGCTTTATTTCAGATGGACTTCATGTACAGTATATTGGTGGCTGATTTTGAATTTTGTATAATAGTTGATATTCCTGTGTAAGTGAGTCTGTTATAATTGAATTAATTTTTTTTTTAAATTTTTGTTACAGGTTTTGAGTGACGTACTTTGTAGTTCTGATTTATATAAAATTAAAGAATATTTGTAAAATACGTATACAAATGTTCATTGTGTGTCGCCCTAGGAGTTTTTTTTTATTTAACTGTGATGTATATGCAGTAAATATTACATGTAATTAATAGCAGCATTTTTTAATTACAGACTTGTTGATTTATTGAGAAGCAAATTAAATAAAAGCAACGAGGACTTGGACACAGTAGAAAGTATTGAAGCTGCTGTTGGAAAAGTCCAGAAAAATTTGCTTAACCTACAGTCTGAGGTGCCAGCATTCTATATTTGGGGGGAAAACCCAGATACAACTGAATCACTTTTGAAGGTACCTATGTACTTTTTTTATCATACAGGGACATCACAGAATTTAAGCTTGTTTACCGATATTTGCTGTCCAGGTTTAAGACTTTTTATGGTGGGGATCTATGCTAAATTTTATTTCGGTGTATTACTTCGTTCAAATTACACGAAGCTCAAATAAAATATATTTTTATAGAAAAAGGCTTATTATTAAAAAATACTGTCGTAACATTAAATGTAGATCACATCAAGATTGATGTTTTTTTTTTGACGTGGTTAACAAAATACAAAGGAAATTGCGTGCTGTTAACACACAGACACAAAGACATGAAATCGTTGTTTCTTGAGTCATTTTGAAGGGTTTATATATTGAAAACTTGTTAAAGTATGAATAAATCAGAAGTTTATTTAACGTTTGGACATTTCTCTAGACTTTGTCGTGCAGGGAAAAGTTTTTCATGGTGGGGATTGTAAGTGCTGTGTTTTTGAAGTTAAAATAATTACATTTAAAGTAACGTTATTGTATACAAATGTCTGACATACGTGTTTGCAGTGAATAAATAATAATTTTTATATTCTTAGGGTTTGAAGTCTCAGGTAGAAGATTGTGTGTCTGAAGGAAAACAACTAATATCCAAAACAAAAGACAAATATACCACAACACAGCAGCTCGTTCCTATAGATATTGGTCAACAAGTAAGTTTTATTTATATTTTTAACTTGAATATAACTCCTTAAGTTGTTTTTCTTAAGTGACAGGTGTAGTTGGTTTTCTGTTTATAAAATTAATTGTGTCATAAATGAAATTAACTCATTATTATAATTTTTTAAAGTAACTAATGACAATTAATGGCGGGTATGTAGTTATCTTCATTGGAGCTTCTATCAGAGACGGTATCGGGAGCAATGGAGGAAAAAGACAGAGAACTGAAAAGAGCACGGACTGTGCGGACCGATTACAAGCGCGACGTCGAAGAAGTTCAGAGCTGGATTCAAAATGCAGAGCTTAAATTGCAGGATCGATCAGTTGAACCACTTCAACTGAAAGAATATCTCACGGTAAGAGTATGACTTTTATGCCTGGTTATCGCTGAACTTTGAATGAAAATAAATAATTGTATGTAATGTATATAACTGTTTGTACAGTACAAATATTAAATGTATTTGTTCTGTCTTCAAGGAAATACAAAATGAAATCGGAGGTGTCGGTGACAAATTGGATTGCATAGCAAAAAGTGGCCGCATAATCATGGATCAAACTAATAAGGAAGATGAACGAGATCTGACGCAAAGCACAATTAATAGTTTGTCGGAACGGCTGGCACAAGTCAAGTCCTGGCTGGAGGAGAAAAAGCTCCAGGTATGAACAATTCCACGAGACCGAAAGCATATAATTTCTTAAAAACTGGGAGTTAAATATGATGTTACGTGCCATTCATATGCAACGTGAATGACGACATAGGTAGGTTGTACCTTTTTGTTGTCCCACCATATTTAATATTTTGTGCTGTTTTAGGTTGGAGAAACACTTGATTCCTGGCAGCGGTTTATGACATTGTACAAGACAGTAAAATTGTGGGTGGATGAAAAGCAGACGTTCTTGGCAGAGCCCGTACAACTCAGCAGTCTTATACAGGCTCGGCAAAAATTGCATGATTATTCTGTGAGTATCGTACATAATAATCATCTTTTTTGTCATCACCATCACAGTCTCACCACCTCCATGACCATAATCATCATACTGATCTTGATTATTATTCTTACTGTTATGTTGAAACAGCAAAGAAAATTGTCTGATTTGTGTTCCGTTCAAAGAAGGTTCCTCTCGCTCTTTCACTTTTAATAATACTTCTAATGATACTGAGTAAAGACTAAGAAACTTATCATACAGTGAAGTGTACGGAGTTGTTATTAGATTTTTGTTTTACTTTAATGTCTTTCATCTGGAAGGGTTTTTAATTCATTGCAGATTGCATTGAAGAGTTGTAAGCAAATGACCAAGAACCTGAGTGACATGAGTAAGGAGTTAGAGACGATTAGCCAGGTAACAAATGTGGGAGATCTTCCGGAGAAGTTGGAGGAGGCTGAAGAAGCTAAGGGTGAAGTTGAAAGTCAGCTCCTTGAAAGAGTAAGTAAATTTTGAATTTGAATAATTTTGTTATTTGCACAGATGGGTTATTCATGTGAAGATTGAAAACATTCATACAAATGCTTTGTTACGTGTTGTTCACTAAGTCGACAGTTGCGAACATGATGAAAATGTCTAATTTATCACAGACAGAATAAATTTGTAAGTTACATGTTTATTGCAAAAATGGTAGAAAATAAAATAATATTAGCACCAGTTTTAACAACAGCAGCAATATCAGTTATAATAACAATCTGTAAAATATTTACAACTACCAGTAATAAATAAATTCTGCCTCGAATAGGATTTGATCCTGTGACCATCTATGCACGAGCCCTTCACTCTGACCCATACGCCAAATTGTATATTATTGGATTATAGTCTTACATTAACTAAGTATAACTTTTTGAAATCACAAGATTTGTACGACTTGGAGTCTGTGCAGTAGGAAAGTAGGCCATATGATTTATTCTAGTAACTCTTTATCATCTGTGATGTTTGTGTTGAATTAATCTCCTAATGTATATTGTGCATATGCTTGGTTTAAAAGAATGCCTTACTGCAAGAAACAAGTGAAGAATGGGAGCAATGTGAAAAGAAGATGAAAGATGTGCGTTTATGGATTGACAAGTCTCGCCAAGCTCTGGAATCTCCACAAAACAAAAAGCGACCACTTCGCGATCAGCTTGGTCTCCGTGAGAAGATGATATCGGATATTACTATACAGAAAACTAAGATCTCCATCTCTGTAGAAAAGCTCCAGGTACGCTGACACCGTCCGTTTTATAGAGGCATCTATGATTTTTGTTGGTAACAGTTACTGGTTCTGAGCTTTGTATTAAATTATTTTTGAAGAACATTGAAAGAAATGTGAATACTTCAGACAAGTTTAAAATTAACATTTTGTAATTTGCATTATGCCTGCCTGAGTTGACAGGAATTAACTTTTTTGTGTTGAACATTAATAGAATTTATTGCAGCAAAACCTTTGAACATTGCAGAATTGCATATAAAATTTTAGATGGAAAACATACACTTGGAAGTCCTAGATGTACATGGGAGGATACTATTAAAATTTATCAAAAATTAGATGCAAAGATGTGGGTTGGATTTATCTACTCTAGGTTAGGGACCAGTGGCAGGCATCCATGAACATGGTAGTGAATTGAAGTTGCGTAAAAGGTGGGGAACTAGTGAGAAAACTATTAGCTTCATAAGAAAGAAAGATCTGTACTCAGTTGGTTGCAAAACATTGTGTGAAGACATACAATGATTCTTAATTCAGTGTTCATTAATTAGATGTTATTCTTCTCTTAATTTTATCATTTTTTCCTTATTCTTATGTACTCAAACTAAACTACATTTTGAAGGACTAATTTACAGTTATCATCTCAATATTTTTGTCCTGGACTTTGGTCCCAGGGTATGTACATATTCTTTAATGTGTGTTTCAAACCAATATCTTCAGGTGCATTACTAATGTGATTTTTATCCCAACAGCTGCATTTTCGCTCTGGTGTTGGTGGTGATTCAAAAGTAACTGAGGCCGCAGAGGAGATTATCAAAGAACTGGACCAACTTACGGGCGTTGTAAAAGAGCAGGCATCAAGTTTAGAAACATCTCTTGCTCAGCTAGATCAATACCAGCAGGTAACATCTGATAACAGAACTGAGGAACATCAGTTATCAAAATATCCAGTCAGCTCATTTAATACCTAGCTTATCTTTAATCTTCTTGTTTCATTCAAACTGTGTTTCGTATCTGTATTGAGGTGATAAAAGCTATATGTGAATTTTATTTATTCTGCTTGTACCTGCAAGTTTTAAAGGATCGAATTGTTTTCATATTTGATTGTCAGAATTTTTGTCCTATACCAGACATTATTAGCATAATACACCAGTTTCTAAAAATTTTAGATTGAAATTGAACACTGTTATTTTGTGTTGTATACAGTAGAGATGTACCATCGTAGTCAGATTTGTTATGCTACTTCAACTTACAGTAATTTATTTATTTGCTAGGAAATTCAGCAACTAAGGCAGCAGATAATCCAAGTGGAGCAGCAGATTCGTGTCGTCCTTAGCCCTACATATCTACCTCATGACCGCGACAAAGCTGCGGAAGAACAAAATGTGAGTACCATATCAGCATAATTTTATTCTGGTTCATGAACTAGATCGAAAGAGGTCTGGTATAGCTGTGATGCATATCCTCCACAAGATTAACTGCAATATAATATAAGTAAAGGTTTATGAATTCTGACAGCTGGAAGGAAATTATTACACAGGTTTTAATTTTACTCTAGGAAGTTTTATTTTGTTGTTGGCATATCACTTCAGTAATACTTCTTGTTTGTTCATGTGTCTCCACTTTACTCCACGTATAATGCATATCTTTCAAGATTTAATGGTAATATCACGTGTATAACCATTAAGTATTGTTGGTTTGGTGAGTGAAATGTAAAGGCATATGGAATTATTTATTTACTGTTAAGGAAAATGGAGGGAATTTAATACAAACTGCTTTAGAGCATCATAGGATGAGGTTTGTCCACATGGAAGTTTTATTGAACAAATAAAACATTTTTGACAAAATTATTAAGAAAAGTTATTTTACATTCAATTCCATTTCCTGCATAGGCAAATTATTAACTTTTATCATCTTAGCTTGAACATTATCCAGTACCCCATGCATTGTACTAGCATACCACCAGACCATTAACTCCCAGTTGCAGTCTGGGTGCAGCCCATAATATGGGGGTTAAATATCCTATTCCAGTATGATAAAATTTGAACAGTGTCTACAAGTTTAAATATCACTTGAATAAAGTCAAATGACAATTTATTAGGAAAAAGAAAGGCTAGAAGCTTTACAGTGTCTACAAGTTTAAATATCACTTTAATAAAGTCAAATGACAATTTATTAAGAAAAAGAAAGGCTAGAAGCTTCGGCATAATTAAATAATATGGGAATTACTAGAAAATTAATTTAAGTAACTGTTTGTACATGTCTGAGATAGTTTTGTTACCTGGGTCTCTTAGAGATTGTATGAGATTCAGTATTTGATTTATTTTCCGTGCATATGCCTTGTGTTAATTTTAACTGTTATTATGGTTCTATACTGTCAGACATATCTTAAGAACAGGAATTTAATTCACAGAGGCAGATTGGGATACTTATATTGAAAGATTGAAATGATGAATTGAATGTTTTTTTCTTTTAAATATTGTGCATTTCAAAAATGTCTAAATAAAAGCGGGGTATGTTTTAATGAATGTGGCAGATACATTTAAGTTGTTAGGACTGGTGTCTTATTGACCACAGTGAACTAACTAGAAGCTGCAAAGTGGTTAATATATTGCAGAATCCTCTGGAGTGATAACATGTTACTGTTTGCAGGTTTCAGACACATTTAGTGTTAAAAATGAAACTGGTTAATATAAACACCAGTTATTTGGAGTAAGTTTGTTAAATATTTAAACTTACAGAAAACTTGGAAACATTTTGATGAAGGACTTGGTTAATTATAACATTATATGGTGGCTGCGTGATCATTTCATCAAGGTGTTTCCACCAGTCCTTCAAACCTTGCAGCTGGGATTATTTCAGTTCTTCTTTTTTTCATATCTGCTAAATGCATAGTGCACCACTTATTTTTGGATCTCTTTCTTTCATAGTTCATATTAATCTAATTTTTCATCATGTTGATATCTTGGGTTTGCTTTGTTATTCATGTGGGGTTGTTTATTTGGGAGAATGGCTTGATATAATTTTGTGGCAAATGTATTTATTCTATTTTTCTTATTACAATTGGTATCATCTACATATTCATTTTCAGTGCAATTTAGGAGCTTTCAAAGAACTTTTTAGTTTCCTGGTTGAATTAGTTTTGGGTTTTCTTAGTTTGAATTATTCTGACACATTTCTTTTTGCTGCACTCCTGCCCACTCCCCCACCACTGATGCAGGCATGCCGAGAGAGAGTTGTAGCCTTGCAGACCAAGATAAGTGCTCGTAATGAGCGCATCAAGCTCCTGACACAGCGGGGAACTCCTGACCTGGAGCCCTTAGACTCTTAGCTAAATCTCTCCTTCTGCCTGCCTTTTCGCTCGCCTACTTGTTCATGAATTTGGAAACTCCCAAATTGTTGCTTGACTGCAGTACACATCCAGTGTTACATAAACAACAAAATAACTGTGAGGAATGGAATAAAGAAAAGAGTGGATGAATGAATGAAGTGTTAAGACACTTGGATTGAAATGTGAAACGTGGCCACCAGAATATAAAGTAGAGAAAAACTGGTATGAGACATTGTATTTTCAACATAAAACAAACACTTTTGTGTCTGAAATTCTTCAGTGCTTTCAGTATTAATAATAATCATAATGATGTTTATCGACCAACTCTTGGACTTACCTCTTGTTTTGCTGGACCGGTCACATTACTGCAGGGCCTTCATCAGAACATGGACTCCTATCGGGAACAGATCCAAGCCCTAATGGACCGGATCCATCAGATTGACCCATACATGGTCATCCTTCCAGAGAAATTAGAACAGGGAAGTGGAAGTGGCCAACAGAGTCCTGCTTCCACTGGCAGTGTTCATATTGCTGATAATTCTGGTGGCAGTAGGAGACATCAGAAGGCCAGTCAGCAGTCTGTAATATCGAAGGGTGCAGATCTCTGTGTTTCTTTGACATCATCTGCTACATACGCAGACATTGCTGCAGGTCGTAACAGTCCCTGCCAATTTGTAGAACAAGCTGAAGACAAGGATGACAAAATGAAACATCTTCCTAGAAAGACTGTTATTGCTAGGACAGTTATGGAGGTTAAAGACACTCCAGACCGAGATATAATTTCAGAAATGTCTGGTAACACAAAATTTGAAGAGGTATCAAGAAAGGATGATGAACCAACAAGCATTAAAGTACAGGAGTTGAAAACGCACGTAATGTATTCAGATAAAATGCAAGATGTGGGAGAATCATTAACAAAATCTACACTTTCTCTTCATTCTGAAGAAGTGCAATCCATTGATCCCCAAGTTGAAAGCATTGTATCTCGGGGAGATAAATCTCGACCATCACGTCGTGGTCGATCTCAGCAGCGGAAAGATGTTCAGGAAAGAAAAAATACAGACAAATTACATTTACAAAATCTCGAAAGCCAGTCTGATACATTAGCATCTCCTTGTGTGAAGGCTGAAGTCCATGATGCAGTAAGTTCTTGTGTGGAAGCACAGTCACTGCATTCTGTTACAAAAAAAGTAACGATCTCAGAACCTACGCCAGTTTATAAAAAGATCCACCACATTTTGTTGAAGCAGCCTCAGGAAACTCTTAGGCCCCAAGTTTATCGTGGGAGGTCTCCAAGTCCGATGTGGAATCCAGGTTCTACTTCATATGCAGACATACTGCGTGGTCGACAGGTTTCAGAAGGACATGAAGAAACACTAGCAGTGACTGACCATCGTGAAATTGGTATTCCCATAACAGAAAAAAATGATGTTCATGAGAGGAAGGTGCAAGAAACACATGGAGATAAATATCAGTACCAGCAGGAAGATTGGAGCTCACCAGATTCACCCAAGGCAATTGCAAGCTTCCAGCAGATGGAAGAAGTTTATGTTCCACCTGTGGATGAATGCCCTATACAGAATGTAGACACTTACAAAATTGATCAGACATCAAGAAGAAGAGAGAGAGTAGAAAATGTTACAACCAGTGATATAGTTGACTCTGAAACATTCCTTCAAGAAGAGGTGATCTCGTCTGTTCATGATCATGACGGCGGTGTGGCCGTGCCTCCAGGTATGTTTGAGTACATTCAGCAGCCCCCACCCGATCTAGTGGGCTTCATTGCTTCAGGTCAACAACTTCTCAATTCTGGTCTGGGAACATACCACACATCTCATCAATATGTAATGAGTCATGATGGAGACCAGTCACTGGTTTATCCTGTCACTGTCACTGCGACACAGCAACCTGATAGCCAGTATGAAACACTTTCACTGGATTCCAGTCATTATGTCCAGCCTTCTGTCGAATCAGTTGCTCCTTACACAGCTCCAGTTCTTCAGGACTTTGTACCACAGCAGTATGATTTACTACAGCAGGCTGTGCTTTCTGATCAGGATGTAGCATCATCTCCTGAAGTAACTCCTGTACATGATACTAAACAATCAAAGAAGGTCAGATTGGGTCATCATACTCAGACTGAAATGACAACTTTAATCAGCACAGCAGTAGAAGATGACGAGATGAAGACTGTGACTATACATCAAATTGAAAGTGACCATCAGACGGAAAGTACTGATGGTGCAGAGACTGAAGGGGATAAGTGCCAGTTGTCATATGCTCAAATTTTAGCTCAAGGATTATGTGCAAAACCACTCCAGCCATCCAGTCGGGCAGTTAATTTGTCTATGAAGAGAAACGATCGATCGCAATCACCACGACCAACTTCTCCAACAAGCAGTTACTCTCGAGAATGGTCTGCTTCTCCTTCCCGTGACATTCCGTCCACAGTAAGAGAAGAGGCAACAAAATCTGTTTTAGCTACTGATACAACAACTATTCCAAAATTGGAAAACAGAGCTTTAAAGAAAAAGAAAGACAACAAAATGAAGAAGGAAGGTGATGGTTCAACCCACGTTTCCAGCTCACCATCAGGTGACCAAGAAAAACGTAAATGTGGGAAGATCAAACAGAAGAAGAAACAGACAGTGTCTACCAGTTTTGAATTTAATGGGAAGCAGGATCCTATCAATAAGAATAAAGAAGAACACGTTCCAGTTGTTGAGACGGAAGCTACAGGTGTTGCCAGTAGTGGAGAGCCCCTTACAATCACATTTTATACTACATCTGTAGCTGACAACAGCTTGGCTTCGGTCAAGGATAGGAAAGGTGGACACAAGAAATCAAAACCATTAGATGATGGCAAGAAACAGATTACAGACAGTAAACCTGTTTCACAAATATCCCTGCAAAATAATGAAATCATGGAAATTAAAGAGAGTAATGCAGCAGAAGCAGCAGTACAAGAAACATTGCATATTACTGATGATAAATTAGGTACAACAATAGATCAAGAAAAGAAGAAACAGCAGAAGAGGAAGAAGAAGAAGAAACTGGTAAAACATACTACTGATGATGAAGTAGAGAGAGCATTAAAAGAGATTGCGATGATGGAAATGATCTTTGATAAACAAAAAAGTAAGAACATTGAATTAACTCAGGAACCGAAGATAGAAGTGATGAAACAAGAAAAGGAAAGTAAGAAATCTAAAAAGACCAAGAGTCTTGCTTATACAGATAATGCAAATGAATTAATTCATGAGGCAGAGCCCAAGCAAGTGGCAGTAGTGGCTTCATCTGTTGAAACTGCCACAGCAATTGAGGGCACCAATAGTCAGAGTATTACTGTGCTACAAGAAACACAGGATAAAAATCCAGAAATTTCTCATGGTGCGGCTAGTAAGCAGGGAAATGAAAACAATGATATTCTCAAAGGTGAGCAGTCAAGGAAGAAAAAGAAACGTGGAAAGAAGCCAGTGTGTGATACTAGTCAACCGATAAAAGAACATGAAATGCGGAACAGTTCTGAGAGTGAGACGATTAACGTGGAATGTGAAACAGGCATCAACAACAGACAAAATATATTGCTTACACAGAAATTGGAACCATTTGCAGAGAAACAGCTTGAAGTTCCAGAAACAACAAACATAGTTGAAGCAGCACCTGTACATCTGGAGCAAGAAGTTGCAGAACATTTGCAAGATGGAAGTACCAGAGCAGTGTGTAAAAATGGCAGAACTCCGCCGTTTGATTATTTTGAGGTTCCCAACCAAGAATCATGTGTACGTCCACCAGATCTGTTAGCTGATATCAGACATGAAACTGAATTTCTGAAAACCAGTGAATTTGAATCGGAAGTTTGTTCTGTAGTTCCAAGAGATGCAGACTGTAAAGTGAAGGAAACTGAACACAATATAACAAATAAAGATGAATTGGGAGAGACATCATCATGTCTTTTAAGTAGAGGGAAAAGGCACAATAAAAAACAGAAAAATGCTGCAAAACAGCCTCAAAAAGAAACAAATAAAAATGATACAACAACATTTATGATTGAGAAATCTCATACTAAAATAGGCTCTATTCCTCTTGAAGAGCATCATACATCAGAAATTACGTATTCTAATCTATCACCTATTACAGTGGAAGATAAGGCTAGTGATTCACAGAAAGACAAAATTTATGAACAGGTGAAAAATGCAAGTGGGCCAGAGGTAGGGGCCAAGTCACCAATTAAAGGGAACAAAATGAGGGGAGGTGCAAAGAAGGGAATAGCTGAACAGTGCGAAGCTTCTCAGCACCCCGAACGACAACCTACAGGAAGTTCTTCAACTTCAGGATTAGGCAGACTTGGAATTGAAGATGATGCAACCAGTGATGACATTTCAGTAAAGAAATCAACTGATGTCACTGATTTGAGCAATACAGAAACTTTGCTTAGCACCATTGTAAATGGAATCCAAGACAGAGATGCAAGTAAAATTAAAAGAAATCCCAAGAAATCTAGGAAAGGTAAACAACCAAAAATTGAAGATAAATCCAAGCCAGTAACAGAGAAGCAATATTTAGTGGAAGAAAAACCTGTTACTAATGAACATGAAAAGAATTGTGAACAAGTACTGCAAGAAATATGTGCCAAGTCTGCAGAGTTGTTGCCAGCAGAAGATAAAACTGGTGCATCAGATCTTAGAGTAGGCAATGCAGAAGTAGTAACATCTGATCTGACAACGAAAGGGAAATCTAAAAAGTCAAGGAAATTGAAATCTACAACCTTGAAAGACACTAAGGAACACAGTAAGGGTAGGAAGGATGCCAATCAAGATCAAGCTGTCAACACATTTCTTACAGGAACTGTAACTGTGACAATAATGGATGAAATTGATTCAGAACTGCCGTCTGGCAAAGGAAAGCAAAGTTTCAAGAAATCTGAGAAACATAAAGTAACTGAATTTATGCAGAACAAAGCCAGTGTGCTTGCAGAGGATGCTAGAATGGATACTAATGGAATTAAAGACAAGGGAATTGATAAGGTTGATACAGTTGTGCTTCCTGAAGGCAGTGTTACTAATAAGGACAATATTCATACTTTCAGACAGCTTGAACAAACTGTAACAAAAAGTAGGAAAAGCAACAAAAAGAGTAAGAAATTAAAGTCTGAAGATGGAAAGGATGAACATTTATTAAATTGTGTACAGCGAGATGCGCTAGTGATTAAGAATGAAGACGTACCCGTACTTGATACCAAAACTGAGACTGAAGCTCATATATGTGCATCATTTGAGAAACAGTTTCCTTTCATTTCTGAGGGTGTTGAAGATCAAGGTACTTATCAGTGCATGGAATCAGGCACAGACAACTTCACCTATGTTGCCTGAAGAAGAGAAAGCATATAATGAAGGGCCTGTGAAATCTGAAGAAAATAAAGATGTGAAATGTGCTTTTGTGCCTGAAACATCTGTACTTGAGTATGAAGTACTTAAGAATAATAATGAAAATCCTCATGAGCAGGACACAAAGATGTTTATCTCAACACCATCTCAGAAAGAACTGAAAACTGTGAAAGATGAGAAATTTGAAAGTGTATCTCAACACCATCTCAGAAAGAACTGACAGTTGTGAAAGATGAGAAATTTGAAAGTGGGAGAGGTGAAACTGATCATATGTCTGAGCTTGAACACAGAGAAGTGCATGGCAATACTGATGAAAACCTTGAAAGTCAAAATATTGATGAAACCAACATAATTGCAATGTCAGATCAGAAGGATTTGTTTGACAAAACTGATGAAATACAAGAAGGTGAAAGAGAAGACCGGATATCACTTGAAGAGACTTTGCTTTTGGATACTGTTCCTAAGTTGAAAAGACGTGATACAAAAAAGAAAGTAAGACGTACTACAAATGTGCAGCCAGCTGACCAAGTGAATATCCCTCAAAAAGGTGATAGTGAAACTGGAAATGTTAGTTCTACTCCACCATTATCATCACCTGAAAATAAACAAATTCCTGTAACTTCTTCAGTCACACATGGAACGTCACAAGTGACAGAAAATCATGAAGATATATTTTTTATACCACAGCAGATAAAAGAATCATCAGTACTACATAATCTGTCAAGTGAAGATAGTTTTACTTTCAAACAATCAGTCATTTGTGACTTACATAGTCCTTCAGTATCAGATATATCACATGTAGTACAAGACACCAATGAGAGCCAAGGTGATGATACACCATTAATTCCATCCCCAGTTTCTTTACCTTGCTTACAAGTTACATTACCAAAATCTCCAACATCGTTTAGTTCTGATTCTTCATTGGTACAAGAAAGTGTGGGACCACAGAAAGAAAATATAGTCATGGAACTACCTGTAGCTGAGAATGCAGGAATTTTTGGTTCTGTCAAGGAAAGAACAAGGAAACCTCGAAAGATCATAGACACTATGACAGCAGATGAAAAGGCTGTAGAATCAACAGAAATATTTTCCCCCAGTGTACAAGAAAAGAAGAGAAAACCTCATAAACTACCAGCAAAAGATGATATTAAAATAATTGGTGGAAAACTCAAATTGGAAGAAGAACCCAAAGATTTTGAGGAGCATGAAGAATATACATTGATGAAAGATAAGATGAAAAAGAAGAAGAAGCGGCCAAGGATACCAGCTGAATTTAGAAGTCTTCAAACTAAAGTAGAAAATGTTGTACCAGATGAGAGTGTTGAGTCAAAACTGGAAACAGTACCACTCTTCACAAAAGTAGACTCTTTAGAGTTGCAGGATATCACAAAGAGTGATATAACAATTGAAAGTAACATGGCATCAGCATATTTACCACCATTATCACCAGTCAACGTGATGATTAAGGAACAAGTGGAACCTGAAAAACCTTGTGTGATAGGGGATGAAAGTCTTATAAATTCTGAAATGAAGCCAATTTTGCAAGATGAAGCACCAATAAGTGTATCAAAAGAAAAACCTGGTACTTTGGTGAGTTCAACTAAAACCAGTGTGGATTTACAAGAAGCACAATTAACAAATATTCATCAAGAAGTGAGATATTACCCACCATATGTGATGAAATCAGATGAATTTAGTGACTCTTGGATGAGTGCTTTGGACGAACCAAATGTGTTTGGTGGTTGTGACAAAGAGTGCGATGAAAATAACATTGCGCCTTCTCCTTCTGCAAGAAACATTGAAACAGATGATGCACTCACTAAAATTCAAGAAGCTGTAATTGCTGCAGTTGAAAGTGTTTGTGATGTGCTTTCTGAATCTGATCTAAAGGCTAAAACGATCACTACCGTTACAAACGATATGCTTTCTGAACTTGGGCTGGGGAATGAAACAGTCATTGCAGTTGAAAATGATGTGCATTCTGAACTTTGTCTGAAGACTGAAACTGTCACTACATTTGAAAATGATGTGAATTTTGACTCTTCACTGAAGACTGAAGCAGTCACTACAGTTGTTAATGATGCACTTTCTGAACCTGGTCTGAATTCTGAAACAAACATTACAATTGCAAATGCTGTGCATTCTGAAACTGACGTGGAAACTGAAACAGTCGGTACAGTTACGAATGATTTACTTTTTGAACCTGAACAGAGGACTGAAACAATGACAGTTGCTGAAAATTATGTGCATTTTGAACCTGGCCTGGAAACTGAAACTACCACTGTAGTAGAAGTAGAACCTCTTGTTCAACCAAGTGAATCATTGATTGACAATGCTAGTGCTTCAGCCAAGTTTGTAGTTGAAACATTTTCTGAGGAGCAGAATGCAGAAAAGAAATCCATAATGCTGGCAACTGACTATTTTGCCGATGGTTCATTGGCTGGTTTAGAAGCACCAGAAGTGTTTGAAAATGATGCAGAAAAGGGGTTTGATACTCAAACAGAAGAGTCACAAATTGTACTACAGAAACCATCTTCGCACGATAAGGAAGGGTTAGAAAATTTGAATATGCCAGTTGCAGAACCCACTACCAGAGGTGTCTGTCACAGTCCCTTTACTGCAGAGCTCATTGTACAGGAGGCCAAACCATGTTATTATCTGTACAGAGATGCTGAAATGTACTGGCAGGAAAAAGTAGCACAAGAACTGAAGAAAATTTCATTTACTTTTCCAAAGAGTGAGGAAAAACAAGGGCTGAAACTTTCATTAGGGAAGCCGGTAGAAAGTAAAGCAGAACTTTCTGTCACAGTGACGGAGAAACCCAAGTTAGAGGTACTATTGGATCAAAGCCATACAAATGGACAGAATTTTGAAGTTCCAACATATGACATTCATATTTTACTTGATGCTGAAAGAAGGTGGCATGAACGGAAGACATTAGGTTTGCTGAGAGATGAGGAAACAATGCCAGAAAAACCAGAAACTACTTTTTCTCCTACAGAGAATGAGGTAACAGAATTTACCAAAGAACATTCTGTTCAAATAGAAGTAATAAATCCTGAGAGCCGTATTCAGAGCATAAAAGAAAGTACATTACCTGAAACTATCATGAACATTTCATTAAAATGTGAAGAAGAAGAAGAAGCAGAGATCTTTGGAAATAATTCTATGTTATTGGACAGAAACATACCATCCTCTGAAAATATTGCAGAAGTAACAGGGGGTTTCGAAGAACAATTTACTAGTGCACAGTGTCAAACTTTAGGATTACAAGGAAGCACTATAACAGCAGAGGACAGGGACACAAAACTCAGCATTCTGGAGAGAGATGAATTACATCTGAAACCTGTTAAAGGCATTGAACTCTCAAATGGATGTGAGAAGGAGAAACATGAACCAGTTATTAATTTATATGAAGAAGTAGTGTGGTTAGATTCTTCTAAATTTCTTGATGCTGAAAGAAAATGGAGAGAACTTAACAGTGAAGTTTTGCCAAGAGAAATGTTACATGAAGAGGAGATTCAAGGAATAGGAACAGTAGACATAGCAAATTTCCAGGAACCAGTAAGTGGTGGGGGAATTTCAAATGCAGAATTACCTAAACAACAAGAGATAGAAGTAATGGACATCAAAATGGATGTAGGTGATACAGCGAAACTTCAAGAACTGACAGACAGTATTCCCCCATTGCAAGATGCCTTTCAGGAGCTAGAACTGAAATCAGGTTCTGATCTGATTAAAGATGAAACAAAATTGATTTGTCACCAAGATCACAGTGCAGGAGAATCTTATTGTCATTATGATGTACTTGGGATTCGTGATGCAGAAAGGCAATATCAGGAACAAGTGGCATTCTGTAAACAGATCATAATTGGGAACTTCTCAGATATTGTAACACCTAAAGAGGCAGGTGGTTTGGTTCAAGGTTTTCAGGAAGTTCAGTTCAAAGAAAATGATATAATAAATGAGGGAGGGCCGGCAGGTCGTGGTGCTGAAAATTCTTACTGTCAGTATGATGTATTTGGACTTCATGATGCAGAGAGTCAATATCAAGAACAAGTTGCTCTAAAGAAATCTACAGAGACAGAATCTCATACATTGGCAGATATTGTAACACCCGTAGTAGCAAATAATTTGGGAATGTTGGATGTTGAAGTTCAAAATTGTGAAAAGAAAGATGAAATTATCTTGGAGACTGAGTCTACAAGTGGAACTGTGAAAACTTGGGCTACTGTAGTGGCATCTAAGAAGTACGATTCTGTACAAGATACAAATTATGAAGAAAAACCATGTGAGATTGTGATTGTAAATAAAGATTCTGTAAATGAGTTTAGTGATTTGCAAGAGTCTTCACAGCCTTCAGTGCGTATATATGTTGAAGCTGAAAAAGATGATTCTAATGTGCCTTTGGTTGAAATCGATCCAGAGGGATTCATGGAATTTGTGCCAAAGAGGGAAATGAGAAAACGTAAATCACGATCTCGATCCAGATCTCGTTGCAGGGATAGTGTAGCTTCTGAGAAACCACAAGAAGCAGTGGCAAATATCATTGGTGTTGAAAAAGAGGAAATTGATGCTCAAATAGAAGAAAATGTTTTGAGTTCAGTTGTGTCTGAGTCTTCAGGAAGGTTTTCTGTACCTTTTGCAGTTGATACTAAATGTAAAATAGATGGTGATGTCAGGCTTCAGACTGGAAGGGAAGATAAACCAAGCTCTGTTTTGACACAACTAAAATCTTGTGAGGATGTACAAAAATCAATTAGGAAATCTGAATTGGATGAAAGTATGAATGAAAAGAAGAGACAACAAAGGCCTGAGAAGTCTCCAGCACTAAGAATACCTCGTGACAGGAAGAGGAAGAAGCCCGTTTCTGAGGGTGAACGAGAAGTGGAAAGCATTTTGCATTCTCTTGTAAGTGAGGAAGTACTTCAGCATAACTTGTCATTAGATAGAGCATTCTGGCCAGACAAATGGCAGTGTAATGATGCTGAATGTCAGTGGCAGGAAACAATAGCACAGTCTCAGAAGAAGCCTGTGTCAACCACTCCCTCATCAGAAGTCAAATCGGATAAGACACATGATCGCAAAGATGATTCTGATGGTGGAAATAGTGGACACAGTTCTCCAGGACCACATGCCCCAAAGGGGGGTGGTGGTGATGGAGGAGGATTAGGTCCATCTGGTGCTACAACAGAACAGCTAAGTGCTGATTTGCCTGGTGGAATTTGCAGTTGGCCAGATGAGAGTACTTACCTGGCTGGCCCTGATATGATTGTTGTCTACCCAAATCGGCTAAATACAAATGAAGATGAAGCATTGTTAGCAGCTGAAGAGGAACATACATCCCGCCTGGCACGTAGAGTAGCTGAAGAAGTCTTCGCAGATTTGGATGATGAGCAAGAACCTGAGTTTCTCTTCTATCCTTCCTCTCATACTACCCAGGAAGTCCAACCTAGCTGCAGGAAGGATGACATCACTGCTTTCTTCGTGATGCAGATGAAGGTTGGAGATCTCAGAAACCCCATTTTTCTCCATGTGTTTCTGTTGTGTGTTTCTACATGCTTGATACCTTGCCCCCACACCCAAGTGCTCTGCAAGCATTATAAACTGCAAATGGTCTGCTCTGTATGGAATGCTACTTCCCTTGGTACTACCACTGATTTTTGCTGGTAGCACTATTCACTAATCACTAATGCTGCTTGGTGTGTTTCCTTTTGTTTCAATGGCTGCGTGAGAATTTTGATGGACCCAATGTACCTCATTCTAGAGTTTAGTGTTATAGTCTTTTGCAAGATGACATAATGTTTTTTTATGATGTCTATCCAGCATACAGAGTATTAGGCAGGGTATCAAATTAAGAAAATTCAAAACTGTTCTAGTATGACATTATTTTAATCGATGATTTTTGTTAAAAAAATGAATATATCGTTATGGGATAAGTCTTTGAATGAGATATATTGACTTCCACTAATTATTCATTTTTTTATATCTGCTCATGCTTAATTGGCTAGTTGGTAATACAGTTCTTTTTTCAGGGTTGTGTAATTGGTTCATTGGATTCGTAGCCTTTTAAAATAATTTATTAATGAATGTAATTAGTAAGTGTTGGTTTAACCATTTATTTTCAGGGTTGTGTAATTGGTTCTTTGGATTTGTAGCCTTTTAAAATAATTTATTACTGAATGTAATCAATAAGTGTTGGCTTAACCATTTATTTTATTTTCCAACAGCTTTCAGTAAGAGCAGCTAACACAGCATGTATCGAATAATGGTGTCGTCTGAAACACGGCTGATGTACTGTTCATATGGGTTGCTTTGGTTTTATCTTGTGGTCATTTCTTTTACTTAGTTCCTGCTTTACCTGATGCTCAACATATGCATTCATGGCATGTGTTTTGTTTGTTAGTTTTCATTTCCAGCATGATTAAAGTGATTTATATAAGATAATTTGAAGTATGGTGTTACCTTCTAAATTTGTTAGAAGTGACATGAGGTTTTTTTTTGTTTATTTCAGTTGTTATGTGTGTTAATTTTTGTTTCAGATTTTTAAAAACATATCTTATTGTTAATATTTAGACAGCAACATATAATTTCTCTGTAGAACTTTTAGTGAGAAATGTTTCATGTAATTGGCTGATTGGTTCTGTTTGGCTCCTTTGACGTAGTTGATATTTTGATAAGGCATTGAACCCCTACATTTTTGTTGGCATGTTTAAAAAACAGTCTGCATTCAGGATGTGAAACAGTGAATGTCCTGTTGCAGGCATCTTTGACATCGGATGTGGTTGCTCTTCAACAGTTTGTGGACAAGTCAGAAGTTGAACTCGGTAGCTTACCTGCAGTTAATTTAACAAGCATGTTGGATGCCTTACTGGTAAGTGATGAAAAGATTAAGGTTAATGTGTTAAGGCATGCTGCTGCATGTCCAATTTCAGCTAATTTGGTTGCTACAGTTGTCATTGGCCAAAGTTTAAAGTCAAGTTCTGCTGCAGAGGAAAAATGCATGTGGATTAAAAGATGAAAAATAGTTTTTGTGTTCCTTAAAGTTAAAGACAAGTGATATGCTGATGTGAGAACAGTTGAACCACAGTGCAGTGAGGCAGCTGTTGGTGATTTCAGAAACTCATTTTGACAGGTGCTTTCACCACTTGCAGGAATGAGTGAAAGATGTATATGTTGGTGAGGAAAATTTCCAATTTTTGTTAAGTGCTGTATCATAGTTGTCATTTACCCAGGATTGATACTTTCTGAACAGACATGAAATATTGTAATGTTTAATTTGCATTTCAGAAATTGTTGGATGATCTACGACTGAAAGAACAGGAAGCCATGAAACTTGAAGGTGTCTTAAGGGATCTGCCACTAGATGCAGAAAAACAGTCCCTTGAGGCAAATCTTGCTGGGGTGCAAACTCGAATTGTCACATTAATGTCTCAAATAGAGCAAGGCAAGACTACAGTTGAGGTATGTGTTCAGTGAGGCGAGTTCAGTTTAAATATTTATGTACTTGTTTTTAATGTCAAGAAAAGTGACAGGTAAACATTAGTAAGATCGCAGTGAATGTTATGATTACTTTTGAAGTAACAAGTGTTATTACTTTAAATAGGAGTATGACATTTTTGAGGGATTAGCATGTCCATTACTCCCGTGATTTTCATAATTTTTTTATTGCTAGTGGAATTGCACTTATATTTCAACATGTGATTTTCCATGGAACTATTGTTTTGATCAAGTAAAGCTGAAACAGTAACTTATATGCTCATGTATGGTAATGAATAGCGTTAGTAATGTTGGAGTTGAGCACAGTCACATATAAAACAAGTTGACAAACCTGATTTTTCAAAACCGTAAGAAATATAATTCTATTAGACCAGAAGTTCCCAAAATGTGGGGCACGCCCCCTGGGGGGGGAGGGCGTGTTGTTTGTATGAAAAACTTTTTTAACGAAATACGGAGAAACATTTTTAATATCCTTTGCTTGGTTGAGGGAGTTTGGTTGTCTTGCAGTGCTGTATACTCATAGCTAAATTTTATGTCAAATCTGTTTGCTTGCACATGTTCTGGAAAGGGGGGCATGAAATTTATGAAATGTTTTAAGGGGGGCACCAGGTATAAAAGTTTGGGAACCTCTGCATTAGACACTACTTGCTTTCTTGCGTATATTGTTTGTAATTGTTGATATCTTCACGCTCTCTTCCTACTGTTGGTGATGTTGAACAGATGGCACAGGCAGTTCAAGAAAAACGTCTCCAAGAAGTAATGCAGTACGAGACATTATTAACTGATTTGGAGCAATGGCTTATTACTGTCAAAGCTAGCTTTAGTACTGACATTCAACCAACATCACCACAGGCCATAAAAGATAAGCTTCTTTCTTATGAGGTTAGTATTCTTAAGTATGATTAATTGTTTATTACAAATAATTTCAAGTTTATGTCTATTATATTACCAATCATCAACATAAATTAACCTAATCGTCTTGAGGCAAGTCCTTGGGCAAGCTAGTAGTTGTGCAGTCAGGAAATTAAGACCCAATGTAATACAGTACTGCTATTGCTTTTCCATACCTAAGTTTCCAAAGAATCTGTCCAAGTCTGCAACCCTGTGAAACATTTTGTAACATCCACTAAGTCTTTGTGGGAAATCAGTTGAATTAGGTTACTTGACCTTTGCCCACGAAGACTTGATTGAATGTAGTTGCCATGGAAGCTAGAGATCATACATTTCATATCATGTTCATTTTTATGGTGAACAGTATTTAGCCCCTTAGCCAACCCAGAATCTTGAGGACCACCACTTATTAGATGTCTGAGACTGTTTGTTCAATCAACTTGATTTTTAAGTAAAAAGAATGTGCATGGATGGGGAGTCTTAAAACCTTGCATACCGTGCTGTGTTGAATATTTATCTAATATATATAAAATGGATGGGGAGGTGTGTGATGTTTTTGTAGATTGTTCAGAAGCCATGAGTTGGTATGTAACTTTTATCTTCATAGTAGATTCTAGTGGAGATGTCTGTGCTTTTAAATGGTCAGGGTAATTCTAATTTGACTGCAGATTGGTCATCTTAGAAATACTGTTCAGTTTATAACAGTGGAGGTTATGTAGTAACTTTAATTAAATTAATTTTATGAATATAAGAGAGCTGAGTGTGTTTATACACTAGTTATGCCCACATAATTCCTGAATATTTCTTTTCCTATGTAATATATGGAAATACAGCACGATTGAAGTCTGTGGTCTGTCTGCTAACATGCCTTGATTGAAGAAAAATAAAGTGGGCTTCTGTGAAACACCAATAAAAATTAACATGACAGTCATAAAAATATAATATTAATAATTACATGTAAGCAGTTATTGTGAGTTTTATTATATTATTTTTCAGTTCTATTTGATTTGTGCAGGTTTTTCTTTCAGTCATTTTTTCTGTCTTGCAGAAACTTTCTGCTGAGCTGGACCTGAAAGAAACCCATCTATTACAGTTGGCCAGGCACTGTGAAGGTCTTCAGGGTTACTCTGATATACAACAATTAGCTGTAGCATTGTCACAACATATGAAACCTGTGCAGGAAGCTATTCATGACGCAGCAGAGGAATTAAAGATCCGTCATGACGTGCTGCAGGTATTCGGAAACATGTATCAGTTCCTTATACTGCTGCTTACCGTCTTCTTTGAATCTTCCAATCAGTTGCTTGACTCTTTTCTATCTACTTGTTTTCATTCATGCTACATGCATGAGCAGCTCCAAATTAGTGTATTCCAAAATTCTTCTTTGTCATAAGTTTTGTGTTCTTGGTTTATTTCTTTGGGTTTCTTTGCTATTTCGCCTTGATATTTCTTTGTTCTTCTTTGAGTTTCTTCATTGTTTCATTTCTTGCAAACATGATACTGTGAATTTTTGTATTTTACAGTCTTAAGTGACAGTATTTTTGAATATAAATTGGCATTCTTTTAGGAGTTGTTAATCACTGAAGAATCAAAAGAGAAGCACCCTCCTCAAGTGAAGCAACAAGAAACCATGGTATCTTCAGTTGAGCTTGTGCCACCAGTTGCACCATCCCTTCCCACAGTTGAACCCAAGACTGTTCCCGATGTTGTTGATGAAGGTTTTTATATGGTCTCACATCCTCAGACTCCAGTAGCAGTAATTCCTGTAAATTATCTTTTCACTCAAGATAAACCCATTTGTGTTGAAGCAACTGCAGAAACTGTATCCATCAGAGAAAGTCAAGAACATCTGCCTGGTGAGGAGACAGACGTATCTGTAGCAAGCCCTATTGTTTCTCAGCATGAGCCATTATCAGAAGATACATTAGCATCTGATGGATCACTGATCCTTGATGAGGAAGCCCCAGTTGAAAATTATGCTGCTGTAGAGTTTGTATTGAAACAGGAAGCAGGTGGTGTTGAGGTTGGTTCTCAGACTGGCAACAGTTTGCTTCTTGACCAACCAAAGATGGAAACATTGGAGTCTTCAGTACCAGCTGTAGCAAGAAAAGATGTGGGAATTATATGCCATCCACCTGTTGATACAGAAGTACAAACAGAGTTTTCTTCACAGTCTGTAAGTGAAGTTGTACCATCAGCAGCTAAGGAAGAAGTTCCAGCAGAGGCTGCAGTTCAAACTGTAGGACACATGTGGACTTCTCCAGTCATTGAAATGCAGAAAAATATGATCCATGTTTTTAAAAAGATAACAGGGGATGAAGAAAGTATTGAAATTGCAACAAAGACCGGTATTGAAGGTGGAGGAAATCTTGTGGCTCCCACAGAACCAGAGGAGAAGCATGTAGACACAGGCGATGAGTTGTTAGTAGAGGTAAAATACAAAGGAAAAGGACAAGAAGATAACCAGGCTGAGACTAGAATGTCTGAACTGAACATAGTTCACACAGCACCACAGTCGTTTGAAACTGTTCTAATTGATCCTGATGAAAGTACAACTGAAGTAATTGTTGATAAGGATGGAAATCAAAAAATTATTGTTCGCAAAGTGCGGCACACTGTGATATCCCAACAGCAGCAACAACAACACACAGTACAACAGAGGTTTCAAACATTTACAACTTCAGATATTGGTAGTGAATGTGCTGAAATCCCTGAAACACAGTCTGTTGCATTCTCTCAAGTGACTTTGCAAGGACAAGAAAGTACTGTGTCAGAAAGCCAAGGAGATGGAAAGCTGCATGTTACCACCACTAAGTCATATACAGGAAAAGTAGCAGCTGGTATTCCAGGGGGTGATCTCACCTTCTCTGAGTTCTCCACTGAACCTCAGCATCAGACCGTTACATACCACACAGTCTCAGGAGAAGAATGTCTTCCAGCATCTGCTTTTCTAAGGGGAATAGGTGTTCAAGAAATTAGTGGTGATAATTATGTGGTAGTTGAACCTGAGGATGTTGTTAAATCACAACCAGAAGAACAAGGTGCTGCTGGAGACCAGCTAATTACAACT